TCATTAACATAACTTAACCGTGACACGCGTATGCACACACGTGTGCGACCCTTTTCCGCACTTTTAGCATTTTAACACGCTGACGCGATATTTAACTTTGAAATTACATTCACGTCAAAAATCGAGCGTCCCGGCATGTAATTAGTATGCATTCACGGAATGTTATATCGCGTGAACTGCAGGAAGAAGTTTCCGATTCACAAGCACATCGGAAACAGGTCACGGAGAGAGCGACGAAGTTGCGAAATAAATTATCGACTTTGGCAGAAGTTTCTTCGCCGGCCCGGTCGGAACGATCTTGAAAGACTTCGACAAGGAAATGGATGGGCCACACACGAGAATCGATTTATTTTCACTTTTTTCGATACACACACAATATGGGAGATAGTCGGGAATGTGTTATCAGTGCATTAAATACATACTTGAGCGCGCAACGCGCTTTTTATAAATATTTCTTATAATTTATATTGTGTGGAAATATATTATTTTTATACAATTGTTATAATTCGTCGTGTAATTACTAAAAAATGTACGATTTCTTAATTTTGTATTCATTATACAACGTATTGTGTGTACGTGAAAGTTTTGCGTTTCGCGACGTAATAGATTCTCCGTGTGTCTTGGCTGGTGCGACATAATAGAAATGTATCGCTCTACAGCGAGTTTCTACTGCGAGAGGTACGCTGAAACGTATCAGCATTATCTAATGCATCGGATATCTCTCTCTCGGGAGAATTATACAGACGTAAACTCCGAATGTGTGCGTGTCAAAATTATGAAAACTTTTCGAAATGTTTGACGCATTTTAAAGTCAAACAGAAAAGTTAAAAATATATTAAATGCGTATTTTACTTGATTTTAATTATGTAGAAAATATCACCAAGGTAACGGCAAGTAATTATGGAGCAGGTGTAATTACAGAGGACGTATATTTCATTAAGCTATTGATCGTACGTGGCGATTGTTGTCTACAACTTTCAGTATCTACGCAAAATTAATAGTTCGCTAATGCGCTCTAATAACAATGACTCGTTAATAACTTACGTGCATTATATCTCTTATCTTAGGTTTTACACGCGAGTGTAAAATAATGTCAACATTGTAATAAATGACAAAATTATACGACGCGCGAGAAGGGTCATCGTTCGTGCGCGTAAAAGCTTATGTTTAACGCTCAGTAGTAAAGACGTGACATTGAATCGACAAAAGATCTTAATATTCGCCGCCGCAAGATTACTTCAAATTTTTTCTATCCAAACTGATTTAACGTCGTCAACTATTTCCGTGAGAAATTTATCACAAATGTGATGTATCGCCCACCGCGGTTTATTGAAATATTATATGTACATGTAACATCGGGTAACATATGTGTATAATATATATGTATATTTGTACATGGGGAGGTAGAAAATGCGTGTTTAATGGAAATTCGCACGGTGGACGAAACTCGTCGAGATAAGCCGGTATTCTAGTTTGTTTCGTTGAATAAAATTTGATGTCTCGTGCGCGCGCGCGCGCACAATTCGCATTTCACGATTAGTATCGTTAATATTACCATCCGAGCGCAGAGAAGGGAGGCTGCTGGGGGCCACTTTATCGAGTAAAGTCACTACAGCAGCTTTTACACACAACGCACACACGGAAATTACTCACCGAGTCGCGCGCGACGAAGTAGAACGAGCAGCTTCAACTACTGGTATGTAAGTATGCAGTGTACACAACGGATTCATCTAACGGTGTTGTAACTATAAAATCCTAACGCGCGCGCGGCAGCGCGCGCAGCTTCATCGAATTAATCTTGGTCGGCGGGCTTTTACCGCGATCGTGTGGAGAATTGTGAAAAATGATCGTATTTATTTCCGTTTTTACGACGGAAATTTATCAGACGAAATGTGTTTCGAGATTTAATACAAACCGATATGAATAATGTAAGGAAAAGGATCTTTTCTTATATTCATCTCGTCGTGGGTTCGGTCGAAAATAATTAACCGGCCGCTCGCTAAGACAAATTTAACACATTAAGGATGCGCGTAACAGAGAAATTTTACAAGCGTATTTAAATCGTTCTTCATTTTTTTGTAACCAGACGACGACGATGACGACGACAACGTGATTCTCAGAGGGAAACGCGCGAGTCATAAGCGCGGTCTTTTTTAACAAAGTCGTACGTAAAAGTTGAGTCCGCAAATAGAAGAGCAGTCGGCGAAATTAGCATGTAAAAGTGCACGATGTGTACGCGTACGTGTAAATCGTATAAAAGGGATTCGCGCGACGACGGTGAAAGAACAGAAACTCACATTCCGCGCGTTTGCAGAATAAATTATGCGATTTCTAATTAAGTACGGCTAAAGTGGCTATTAGAGTTAGCTCGTTAATCATCCCCCTCGCGCTAGTGACATTTTTCCCGTGGATCCTACGTTCGCACAATCGCTCAACGTTCCGCGCACGCAAATCTCATTTTTTATCAAATATGGCTCCTTAACGACAGAGTAGGATCTGTTCTGTCTGTTTTTGCCGTTTTTTCTTGTACAGAATTACGTGTGTATATATATATGTATACGTATACGTGATTTATTGTGATTTACTCTGACGTATAGGAACAGCGTATAAATGAGTATTAATGATCGACCGTGTATATCTATCAGATATTGCTGTCAATTCATAAATATTACTTAAAAACAATCAACTTCTTTAAAAAATTTCATTTTTTAAAGAGACAATATTTTATAACAATAATAAATAGCTCTATTATGTGTGAGACAACTTTATGTAATTTCGTGAAACAAAGCCCGACGCATTTTGATCGCAATAAATATTTTATGAATATTATCCGATCGATTGCAATTTGCTGTATTATAATAATTATCACATTGGCATAATTGGCGACCGATCGAACAAAATTGCCACATGCAATATTAACACTTTCAAATACAAGATGTTTATATCATGATGTAAAAAACTTGAAAGAAACTTTTATTTTATTATTGTTTTAAATTGTTTAAAATAGTAACGAAATATTTTTTGAACGTGGTGTTTCAAAAAATTATGTTCGATTACACGTGATTTGTCATCTCGATATCTTCCAATTAGCAGCGAAAACCGCTCTTAGAACCGGAATTTTCTCCAGTGTCTGATGTTGCAAGATTAGTAGTAGTCTCTCTGCTTTCGCGATTATTAATTCACTCGATCTTCTACGATGCAAGAGCAAAGAGAAGGAAAGAGACAGAGAGAGAGAGAGAGAGAGAAAGAGAGAGGTAGTGGGTAACCAATTTTCATGGCGCGCGACACCGGGACAAGTCGCGTATCTCATTGCAGTAAGCGGATGACCCAATTTTGTAACAATGCATCCCGCCGGGCGAAGGCCGGGCGTGTGCGAACGAGACACAAACAAACAGAGGCACGGTGGAGAAAATGCAGATATGGAGGAGGCGGGTCGGTTTTATCGCTGAGCCGCAGTAAGCGGGAGCATCGTAGCGGGAGGTTCCGCAATTTAGAAAGGCACATTTATGAGCGCGCCGCGTTATTTATATTTACACGTTAAATGTACAGGAAAATTTCACGATGACTCGCTCGTCGCGCCGAACGGAGAGAGAGAGAGAAAGAGAGAGGAGAGAGATTCATTTTAACGTCCCGTTCCGCGATTTATCTATTTCCGTTAAGCGAACTCGATGATCGCCGAGCTATCGTCGAACGTGACCAGGTAAAATTTCCGCGGTAAAGTCGGCGAAAATTACACGAGCACCCGAGACGATAACGAAGAACCCATCCCGCGACGAAGGAGGGAATGAGGAGATGGACGATTTTAATTTGCAAAACTACTCCACGGCGCGAATATGCTCGAAATAAAGCACTGCTCCCTAGTGAAATAGCGTCTTCGAGAGGGTGAATATGCATTTATGTTTGTCCGGAGGAAAGTCTACGGAAGGCTTAATTCGCGCTCGACGACGACGACGACGTGACGAGAAATGTAGAGGATGAAAAGGGGGAGAAGATAGGAGGAGAGAGTGAGAGAGATGTCCGCGCGCGCGCAGGAACACACACACACATAACGCGCGGTTTTACGCGCTCATGTGAGTCGAAATTCATGTGCGCGACGCAGGAACTGATATTTCCCAGAAAATGAATCACCCTTATACAAACGGACCGACACACCGCGGTAACAGCGACACAATAGTCAGACAATAGCAAAAGCGCGGGTGGTAGCTAGCGAAAGAGGGTTGATACGAGGATAGCGCGGCGACGGACGAAGGGATGCAAGTGCTCGAGAGATGCGCGCGGCGAAGGCGGAAGATTTTGTAGGTCGCTTCTACGCGTGTGTGTGTGTGTGTGTATGTGTGTGTGTGTGTTAGTTAAAGGGTGGAAGGCTAGGGAGGGTTGAAACTGCGCTCTCCAGACGGAAACAGGATGAAGGTGCGCCTTTCCGCGTACAAACTGCGCCGAGCCGCACCGCCAAACAGCCGCGCAAATTAAATAAGCCACATCCATTAAAGGTGCTGCCGTTACTCTTCCGGTTTCGTACCTGCTTACCGAGCACTTAATGTCTAATTAACGTATTACACAAATCGGCTAATAAAACCGAGAGAGCGAGTGCGAACATCGTTCGTTGCGTTGAGTCGATGATTTATGATACGTTTGAACGTCCGGGTCGTTCGCGGCGGATTATTCACGTTTAAGTGTCGAGAGAGTAAAACTACTGTATAGATTTTTATTCTACAGAAGATAATGAATCACTCTTTTTTTGCGAACGATGAATTGAATTTACTTCGAATTTTAGAAGTCGTTTTCAGAACACCGCAAAAAGTTATTTCTGCCGCGTGTTGATTATATTCTTAGCGAAAATATATATATTTAAATATTTATATACTCTACTGGTTTCTAAACATATATTGTTAAATATATTATATTAACATAGTTTATGTAAAATATATTAAATTTTTTATTTTTGTGCATTACGCTAAAATTAGAATGACATTTTCATAATTGAAACAATATTTATTTAATTAAATAATTCGAAAATCTTTTCGAGAGACCTTCTGTCTCTCGCGATTTTTGTTGATTATTCGAGTCACTTATTTGGAAGCAGCGTAAGCTCGGTTAACGAAAAGCTCGGTAAAATCAATACTCAGCGTCAGTTTATATTCGCATCACGTTAATTTCATTCCAACGGTATAGAATACAATTTACGTGGCTCCCGTAGCAAGTGACTCATTTAATAATGTGAAAACAAATGAAGGTGTTATCAGACAACAAAATGAATAAACATAATTAATTGTCTCGCATGTCTTTCCCAAATAATATATTTTTTAACAGCCGTGTGTGTGTGCGTACATTAAATAATGTAATTTTCATACTCTGCACTCATGGCCTAAATTACACCAACAACGGCGTAAAATTATTAACGACGACAGCGAGAAAAAAATAGGAAGCTTGTTTGCGCGCGCGTTGTGTAAATTCTTTTTAACAAATAGGTAATATACATTTAAGCGCTCAGCTTTCTTTTGCTTGGCTCTAAAATTTCAAGCGTCTAAAGTGTCGTTTATCGTTTCACAGGCATCTGAAATTACAGGATTTAAATTACATGGGCTTCCTTTTCGACGGAGATAAGAAAGATTGAAGCAACAGTGTACCCTCCCCCCAGATTTCACCGACACGATGACTGATGGAAGTTTACGTTTTCTTTTCACGGTGATGGTGACCTCGCTCATGCCACGCGCGTTTATATACAAGCACCTATACATACATATATTCAAATGACCGTTCCTTGATGTTCATGAAATTTAAAACCTATCGACCCGACGGGCGCGTACAGCAACTAGATTCTCACGAGATTGCTCCTTTGAGGTCTGGTCAATCGCGGCGTCACTCATGGGTCCTGGTTTATCAAGCTACTCTTTACTCTCTCGCTCTCTCTCTCTCTCTCTCTTTCTCTCTCACTCTTACAAGGCTTTCATGAAATTTAATAGGTTATCCGATATGCTCTTTTCGCTTTTTCATGTCAAGTCGACTCATAAGAAACAAAGGGCGCTGACGTTAACATTTTTCTATCCTAATTCTTCGCTACCGCTCTCACATATAATTTTTCATTACTTCTTCCATTTGTGTAAGAATCATTTTTGAAGAGAGCGACACGTTGAGACAATATCTTTGAAAATTAATTGGTTTCGTTCACAATTTGAGATTCAATTTCTTAATTAGCAATCTATAGCGCATCTTCCACGTAAGAATACTTTATTTCGAGAACGACGTTGTATCTTGCATTTTCCTTTCGAAATTTTATTAAAACATAGATGGATGAAATAGCGGTCACGTGTGCGATCGATTTTAATTCGATCTGGTACAGCGATTTATATAAGTCAAAACGGTAGAACGACTTACATAACGATCTTATTCCGTCACATTTTTTTCTCTGAAACCATCGTTCTAATTTTGCGTTGCGTTACCGCTAATGGTCGTCTCCTTATTCGATTTGTATAATAAAAAGCGGCATTTTTTTTTTTTTAAAGAGCGCGAGAAGTCTCTCTCCGCTTTTACGGTTGCTCGGAAGCGAAACGCTTTACAGGAAAATTCAATAGATAGCCGGGCGATGGAGGATGTTGTAGAGATTGTTCCGTTGCGCGTGATCTATGGGAGCGCCGTGGCCCGGTCTGCCCCATAGCCTCTTCCAAGTATCGAAGTGCCTGCGACAGCTCTCCTGTTCCATTCGACGTTCCTCCTGAAACGAATTCCAAGTGATTTGTAACGTGGAATAAAAACAGAATCGATCGCGGCAGCCGGGCTGAGAACACGCGCCGCATTTTCAAATCGGTTTAATTTCAGTTTCATGTTCGATCCGTCGCTGCTTTCATGAGTGGTTATCGCGCGTTCCAATTCTTGTGAAACCGTTTCGGAGGTTTCATCAGCCGCGCTGCGTATTGTGCACGCGCGCGCGTGTAGTCAATTCGATCCGATAACAGACGGTCCGACAGTGACGAGATTGCCGGGAGATGGGTGCAATTAATCCCCGTTTCGAATTACCATTTGACGTAGCCGACGATCGTCATCGATCATACATAGGCGGGGTACTTACCAAAGCTCGGTCCCGTTTGCGTCGTATCTGCTCGGCCAGATCCGCGATGTACTCCCGATTGGCGATGCTGAGCGCGCGAAGCCTGCAAAACAAAAAAAAAAGACGCACGCTGGTCACACCCGGGCTTTCATATCCTTTTTTTTCTTTTTTTTTCTTTTTTTTGATGAGCCCCCGCGGAAATGACGGGGGACGCACGTGCGTGGAAGTACAAATTGCGAGGAAATAAAAGCTCAAGCGCACGCGCGCGCGCGTGTGTGTGTGTGTATTTCAACGGACAATCTCTTCAAAATGAATTACTCAATATCATCGGAACCGCGAAGATAAAATATTAACAAGAATAATATAAACAAGAATATTTTGCGAGAAGATAAACTTTAATAAATACAAAATGCTAAAAAATAAAGATATTTGCGCCACATAGAACTGCAAAATAAATCCAGAAAAAAATAGAGATAAAAGAGTATTAAAAACAAATCCACTTTAAATATTAAAATAAAAATTTAATAAATAATTATCCAAAGAAACTAGCGGAAAGAGTTTATACATAATAAGTTAATTCTATCGTTTACTGACCTTGCTGAATTTTTTTACTCTTTATATATTTACTTTCAAATGCTCGAAAATGGCCAAAATTTTGGTGAAATTCGTGATCTCGATGGCGCGCTAATAATGAATATTGAAGATGATAAAAACTGGCGTGTAGATGATTCGTCTGCTGCGTGAGTTTTGCCGTTAAATGCCAAATTAAGCCAACTCGGACGGAAGGTGTGAAAAAAAAAGCTTTCCGTCCCAGTGGCTCTAAAGTCATCGATATTTTCGATGGCGCGTTGAATAGTCTTTAACGACTGCGCGCTAATAACTGCAAATACCTCGCATAGCGCACTCGGGAATTTGTGTGCAAATCAATCAAGCCGCCTATATCGCTCTCTCTCTCTCTCTCCCTCTCTCTCTTTCTCTTTCTGTGTGTCACCGAATTAAACCTTGCTCGAAGTACACCGAGCCGGAGTGTGTTCTATTTTATACTCTGTCGTAAAAAAAATAATCGCCGGAGGGGAAAAAAAAAGCCCTTTTTTAGTGAATAATACTCCGGGCTTGCACCCGCTGTCATGTTTTTTTTTGTTCCCCCGCGGGTTATCACCGCCTGGTGACAGATAATCGAGGGTGATTAATTACGACAGGCAATACAACGCGCCGCGCGGCGTTTGGGTGTCGGCCGACTGTGTTATAAACAACGCGACACCTCGGTACGCAACTTTCATACACTATTCCATTAAACGTTATCAAAGTGTCTCGTTACATGTCAGGTTGGTGCCGCTGCTGCACGTGTCCCGCCATGTTACGACCGTTTACACGCTGGGTTATCGAGCAATAAATCGGTATTACGACCATCGAATATGCAACATACTTCGTTTTCTCTCTCTATCTCTCTCTCTCTTTCTTTCTCTCTCCCTTTTTCTCAAAAAAAGTGGTGCATCAATTACTCCAAAATTAATTGCGCGTACTACAAACGTCGTAAACACATTTTGCAGATGATGTATACGCTCAGTGTTCACAGATATTTTATTCGTAAAATATAATCTGCGTCGCGTACAAGGGAAGACGATCTTTATTACGACTTTGTATAAGAGAAAGAATTTTTTTTGTATGGAATGTATAATTCTTGCAGAAACACATAAGAGATTTTAGCTCTCTCTTTTTCTCAAGAATTGTAAAACGAGAGAAAATATATTCAACTTTCCGGAAAAGATATCTTTCGTGGAAAAATATTTTTTTACGACGATGACGCTGATGAATATTTAGAACGATGTCGGCGCGCAAGGGAGGAAAATGAGGGTGAGATTGAGAGGGAACGGACAGGTGAAATGGTCGAGGTCGGGTGCATCCGGGTCAATTGGTTGATTATCTGTAATGTAGTTACATCCCACGAGTGTCGTATCACTACTGACTAATTCTACGTCATTGTCGTGCCTTCATTGTCGCCGTGTTTATCGTATACTTGCGAATGGATGCGAGTTGAAAAATCAATTGTACAACGATATTGTAATCGAGAACTCACGTATTCTGCGTCGTAACGAAACGCAAAAGTGCAGTGCAGCCGTTTACATCACCGCTCGTTCTTTCTCAGTAAATTTTTATATGAAACTGAAAGGAAAGAAAGAGATGGAAAGAGACTTTTATGTCAGATTATAAAAACCGAAAAAAGAAGCACGTGAAGAACGTGAAAAAGAGACAAAAAATAGAGACATTTTGAGAAAGGAATGTTACGGAAGTATAAGTGTATGCTCTGAAATATAAAGCAGAAGGCCGACATCAAACACACACACACACACACAATATGCTTATTTAAAGTATGTGTAACATATATTTTCTCAAGATGCATGTATCCTCCCATTGAAATATGTAGTTCAAAATATCAAATTTTCTTTCCCTCCGTCTAAACTGCACGTACTCGATAACACATTTTCATCAAGAAAGTTACATAAAAGAGAACAAAGACTGCTCTCAATATTAATTCCAGTTAATGAGCAAATGTGTGCGGCTACAATCTGTTACATACGGCGAACATAGCGCGTTATCGATTATTTTGTCATCATAATATTTACTCTCCCCATCGTTTAGGTTTTAACGCAACGTGATAAAAACGTGAGTAGTACAACGCAAATTAATTAAAAAAAAAAAAAACTATAATGGAAACAAAAAATATAGAGAAAAAAAATTATCGTTAAACGTAGAAGCAGAGTAAAAAAACTCTAAACGTTAAATACGTATAATATAAAAGTTAATTTAAACACGTAAAATCCTTCCTTCTATATAAAAAAATCCATGTGTACCAAGAAGTGCGCGTTTCGGAATCGAATCTATCGCATCTATTGTAGCCTCTTTTCCGCGTTGCCGATTGGTTGGTTGATCGAGTCGAGTCGAGTCGAATCGAATCGGTAAGATCGAGAGAATAAATAATGACAGAAAAGCGATTTTGACAGTTCGTCATATACGTGGATAAAATTAAAAACGTGACTAAAGTAAAGTCATGTGACAGGAAAGAATAGAAAAACAACACGTGATTAAAGTAACATGACTAATTTATATTATATATAACATTAATATTACATATAACATTAATATTATATATAACATTAAATAATATATATTATACATATAATTTATTATATATTTATAATATTATACTTTATATTGTATTATATGTATTATATATATACTACAGTAAGGTGACCGCGGCGGGGTCATTGACCTCGGCCGCGCGACCTTGGGGGAGGAGTCACTGACCTGGCCGCGCGACTTTGGCGGGGTCACTGACTTTGATGCACTCACGTGCTTACGGTATATATATATGTATATACGTGTGTGTGTATTATGTATAGATATAGAATATTATATATATAATATTTTATATATATATATATATATAATATTCTTTTTTTTACTTTTTTCCCTGTCACGTTTCTTTTATTTTTTGAGTGTGATTTTCATGCGTTATTTCTGACATCTCTCATATGTACATCATGTGTATTATATGGTTTTGTAAGACGTATATATACTAGCTGTCATCGCGGTGACAGGTTGTGTTCACTGACACAACACGTTAAAATAAAAATAATAATAGCATGCGCCTGTGTTGTGCTAGTAAGTAAAAAAAAAAATAAAAACCTAACGAAGCTCGAGCTTTTTGTTTTTGCAAGAGTCGAGAAACACAAAGTCGAGAAAAAAAACAAATCGTTCTCCGACAACTGTATTATTGCATAATCGCCAACGTCATTTATGAAGTAATCAATCATTTTGTATACGAGCCGGTCTCACTATTGTGAAACCGTCATCCCCCTATACTTACGATTCTATCGTGTATCCTGGACGAGTGGCGTCCGTGACAAGGTAGCGTGTGGTCTGCGGATGCGACTGATAACGCCTGCAGGTTAACAGAGGCACCAGTTCGACACCACCCGTTAGCTCGTACACCTGAACCTCCTCCTTATAAAGGTTTCTCGTGTCCTGCAGCGGTTGTGTTTCCGATCCGATACCTGGAGCAAAAGACCATAACATGGAAACGAGATTTCGAGCGAGTAAGAGAAGCAAGTGGCAACCTCCGCCATTTACCTGCCGTCGCCCTGTCATCGTAGAATTTATTCATGTCCGCAACAGCTAGAGGGTCCGTGTTCCTCTTGTGCAATCTGTCGATCGTAGCGTTGCTCGTCCAGCCCTGAAGCAAGGCTTTAATTAATCATATGGAAAGTATTTATCTTCTTTTCTCTTTATTGTGTTTGTATTAAATTCACTCTATTAGATTTATTCTCGATGTTTATAAACCGAATATATTTATTTTCAAGACTCGTATTATTTATTTTAAAACAGGATCGAAGAAAAAACACAAGAGCCAATTGTCGCGCGAGATCAAAGATTCCGCGTGTCGAATATATTTCACAGTTTCGTTATTAGTGATGTAAGTCAAGTTTTGATCCAACGTAAAGCCAAATCGCGCGTTCATTCATCAATGTCAATCTCGTTAGTCATCTGATTACAACAAGACCTCCGCAGCTTATTATAAGAGAAAAACCGCGTTATAAATCCACTCATCGTACATCTATATAAGTCGCAGATGTATAAAGGAAGATGGACGAAGACGGTGGCGCATCGGGAAAAGAAGCTGCGAAACACGAGAACGTATATTTGTACCGGATTTGTAAACGCGAGCGTGAAGGAAATCTGTGCGCGTAATATAAGAAGAAGCAACTTGGCCGAAGCGAAACGCGCTCCGATAAATTTCAGTTTAAACTTTCTGGTTGTCTTTAGAAAGGCACCCGGAGGATCGTATTAACCGGTAACGTGGCGCGCGCGCGGTTACGTGCGTTGCCACATTTGAGGGAGAGTGGTTAATTAAAAATTAAGAGTCGCACGTACCGTCATAGAAGATGGTCGAGGATGCGCCTCGGAAAACTCGGAACGCGCGGAGAAGATTTAGTCGCGATGAAATTATCACCAATGTGAAATAATACATATTCGTCCCTGGTTTTTTTTTTTTTTTTTGAGGATTTTTTTACTCCGCGCATTTTTGAAGGCAGATTTATATTCGTGAAACGAGAGCGAATTATCGTACGGCCGATTGCGTTTAATTGATAACACCGCGCTTTCGTATCAAAATGCGACCGGATCGTTCCGCTTCGCGAACGAAATAGATCCGTTGCAAAAGTCATTGCGCAGTTGCGTCACATCGATCGCGTGCGAATTTGCGCAAAAATTACGCGACTTGACACCGCGCGTCGCATTATCGCAGAAATTTCTTTTTTTAACGAAATGTATATTGAAATACCTCAATAAAATTTCAATGGATGACAAAGTTTTGAATTTTTACACAAAATACGCGTACGATAATTTTTAATATACAATTCTTCCTCGCGATGTACAATAATTTTAATCGAAATTATCGAAATTGTATATCGGTTCAATTAGCATGTATCGATCTCTCTCTCTCAAAATCAATCACCATGCAGTTTATCTCAAATTAACTTATCCGATCTTGCATATATACGAGCGACGATAATGCGCGATCGTGCGCGCGTAATTTCCGTTTCGCGCGTCGTCGTGCGCGCTTAGACAGTTAAATTGAGCTCACGCGCGCGAGTTATAAATTTCATAAAGTCACGAACGACGCGATTCGAAGTGATAACGTCACATTTCGACGAATACTGGCTCTTGCAATGTATTATTAAACGCACGATGAAAAATAAAGTGCTCGAATCTCCTTTGACGTACTTATACATACAACCGTAAACGTTAAAACTAACACGCGTAATTCCAAAAGCGTCACTTCTAATTTACATTAATTAAGAAAATAAACAGAATGATTAGAATCGCGCGCAGCATCAACATTACGTATTCGACACATCGCTCGTTGTTTGAATAATTGAAAAATCACACATACGTCAATTTATTAACGACAGTTTTTTGTCGACGAAGAATAATTTGCCAAAAATTTCGACTGCAAAAAACATCGCTCTATTATTCACCAAACTTCGCAAACAATTACGTGACTCTTTTCCCGTCAGCCGATTTATCGTATTTACCGTTGAACGAAAAATACAGACTCTCTCTCTCTCTCTCACGCGAATCGCGATCACGGCGCGTCACTGCGCGCACGCCCGGCGCAGAGAGATTTGGACGCGGTTTAATTTCTTAGTAAAAATTCCGTCTCTTTCTTCTATATATATATCTCCTCTCGCGGGATGTATCTCTTTGTGTAGTAAATTACAGCGCGCGCAAAAAAAAAAATGGCCGGCCGCGATTTACTTGCGTAACCCACCTCCGGGATTAATTGCGCGGTCGGTTCAGAGAGCGAGCGAAGCAGATAACTTTCCCCCCTTCCTGTGCGTTTTAACGAGAGCGTCGAACAACACGCGAGAATATCGCTGCGCGCGCTCTGTGTTTCACCGTATAAATTTGTATATCGCTCGCGTTCGTGTTTTTCGCGCCTGTATATAGACGGTATCGCGTACATACACGGTATTTATTCACTTCGAGGAGTGAACTCTTACCGCGATTGATGCTTTCATTCTTAATGAATGTAAAGAGTCAATAATTTTTCTACCAAGGCCGTTTCACCGATACCGCACGTACGTGATCCAAAAGCAAAAGCGGATCACGACCGAGCGGACAGAAATAATTGAAAAGTTTCGTGCACAACGTGAACGCCAAGTTACCTCAATACACAAACAGCGCAATTACCTTTTCGTATACATACGTAATGGAAAAAGTAAAAGCACGGTTTTGCAGATTTGAGACAATAGACGCGTTTGAAATCTACCACACAAAAAATTTGATTTAATTCTATTCACGACAAAAATATTACGGCGTAAATATTTTTGGGGAGCTATGAATTATTAAAACACTCAGTGGAGCTTTAACTACCCGGAATTACAAGTTTCATGAATAAAATTCCGAATTTCACACAGTTCTCTTTAAATGAGAAGCATCAGTTGTGTGATTCGGTCCGACGATAACTCGATACAATTTGTGAAGAAACTACAGCCGCGCGAAAAATCAGTACAGTTGAAATTTGTCAGATTAAATTTTTCCTATACAATAATTCTTGTTCTCTACTCGTTCAATTATGTATAGCTCTTGTTAAATAATTTTTTTCTACATGTTTGATCTAATGAAAACGGCGATAAACAATTCGGGCTTGCCATCATCCTCTCGTGACGGATTATTATTTAACATAATAAAGAGACTTTTAGAGACTAGCTTCTCTCCTTTTCTCTCCTTCTTTTATCAACTTTGAAAAATGCGTCAAAATGGATTTGTCTCTCTCTCTCTCTCTCTTTCTCTCCCGTTCTTGTTCGCAAGGAACCCTTCAATTACCGCTACGTCTATAGTTTGCGATCCCTCGGGGCCAATGTTCGTCAATCTAACAGGGTTACTCGCGCAGCGGTAGAAAGTTTTGATGCAAAGTTGCCAGTACAGGCTGACGCGAGATACTCCCATTCGCTGTGACAATGTAATTTCGTTATCGTTCCAATTGGTTTCTCGGCGCGAGGTCGTAACTCAAACGTGCAATTACTGGGAAAATCAGTTTCTCGTGAGGGGTACGCGCCGAAAACTTTTTTATCTCGAAAATAAAAGTAATATTTTTTTCACACACATCAAAGAACAAACGGAAAAAATATAGCGCGTTCTCGCGCTTTTTCCGCGAATATATGAAGTTGCGAAGTAAACAAGAGAAGCGACGCGCTTGTTACGCATAAATTAACTATTTCCGAGACATAACTTTGGCGTCAGAAGCATGTCGGTCGCGCGACGATGTGTTAATTGCGCTGAATGCACACCCGCTAACACATAGACTGATGTAATATATTGCGCATTGTCAACTGAAACGCATCCCTGTCGCGCCGCATCATTGCGCATATAGTGCGCATTCGAGTAAATATATTCGACGTGAATATTTCTCCTTCTCTCCAATTGTGAGAGAGGGAGAAGAGGAGAAGTGCGTTAAATAAAAACTTTCTGTATATAATATATCTACTAATATCTACCAATATATTACGCAACATTTATTATTCTAATATAAATATTGCGATTTTAAATCGGGCTGGAAAGAGCGTGCTTTTTTTTACGTACTTTCTTCTGTGGGAGAGTAAATCTCTCGCCGCCGATTTCTGAAAGACGAAACGAGATCTTTGTGCTTCTCTGAAGAAAATCCACCGCGTTTCCGCGTTGTAGATTACATTAACGTTTCGCGCTATCGTTGCATAATTGAAGCGACGCATGCTCGACGATAGTCGGAGAAACGTTTCTGAAAATATCGCGTGCGCAAAAAACCCGAGAGCTCTCTTTGAGAACGCAAAGCGTTGATTAAAGATTCCCTTTCTTTAGAAATTATTTGAATGCGCAACGAGAGATACCTCCCCCCCGTTGAGCGTGTACAATTAACGCGGCAAGACAAGATATGCGTACCATGGATTCGAGGAAGCGCGCGCCATGCGACTTGGGATCCCTCCAAGGAGCACCGCCAGGACCGGGACGACCCCACGGCGAAGGATGCATCAGCTAAGCACACGGCGCCGTCGCATATTAATCAGTTTCCAGAGCTTGTTTCCTAACGTATACATACGTACACGTGGGATCTTCGCGTCATACCGTAACACGTGCTCTTTAGCTCTATACTCGCGTTTCTTTCTCTATCACTCTTTCTCTCTCTCTCTCTCTCTCTCGCGCGTGCGTCCCCTTCAGCATTTCGCGTCACGAGAGAGGAGGTTTCTCAACGCGGGGTTTCGCGCGGCGCGCGAATTGCGTTAAAGCCTCATTTGCATCTGATTAACGGGGCGCAACCTAATTTCCACAACCGGCACGTAATCTTGAAAATTGCACGACGACGACGACGACGAGGAGGAGTGGCAAGATGTTTGCGCGTGTTTGTACGTATCATTATCGCGTCAATTTTGCGCGAATCACGAGTTTATAATTATTGTTATTACGCGTGAAAGACCGGTTATCTTCTCTGCCGTCGTTTCGCGTCAAATCCGGTCAGTTTAGATGAGATATTAATAACGAGAGAGAATGTAAATATTTTATAAGCTTCCATCTTCTCGGAGTCAACTTCAATTAGCTTAGGCTTGGCTCAGGTCCCATCTAGTTAAGCTTAATCTTCTTAGCTTTGAGGTAAACCGGTTTGGTTTAACTAATTTGTAACAGCAATCGGTGTTAATG